GTGACAGGGGGCAGCGCCCAAACCCCCTGATCGCCCTGCGGCTCTGTGTGTGACAGGGGGCGGGGCCACAACCTCCCTATCTGCCCTGCTCTGTTCATGACAGGGGAAGGCACCCCAACCCCCTGATCGGCCCTGCTCTGTGTGTGACGGGGTAGAGCCATAACCTCCCCATTGGCCCTGCCCTGAGTGTGACAGGGTGTGGCGCCCCAACTCCCTGATCTGCCCTACTCTGTGTGTGACAGGGGGCAACGCCCCAACCCCCTGATTGGCCCTGCTCTGTGCGTGACAGGTGGTGGCGCTGCAACTTCCCCATCAACCCTGCCTTGAGTGTGACAGGGGGCGGTGCCCCCACCCCCCAATCGGCCCTACCCTGAGCGGGCATCGCAACCTCCCGATCCGCCCTGCTCTATGCATGACAGGGGGTGGCGCCCCAACTCCCCAATCGGCCCTGCTCTGAGCCCGACCAGGGGCTGCACCTAGGGATTGGGCCTGCCCTCTGCCACCCATGAGCAGGCCTAAGCCAGCAGGTCGTTATCTCCTGAGGGGTCCCAGACTGCGAGAGGGCACAGGCCGGGCTGAGGGGCCCCCCCCCCCGAGTGCACAAATTTTTGTGCACTGGGCCTCTAGTATATATATATTTAGTATAAGACTCTTCAGGTCCTGCATTTGTACTTAAATTTTTAAATTTCTTTTCCATCGCTATGTCATTTTGGTTGATATATTTTTTTAAATCCGAGAAGTTTTGTATATATGTTTACTTTGGCTTTGATCTGAGAATGACTGATTTCTGTATGTGACAGCTGGAATGACCAAATACGAAGAAGAGGCAATAATAGAATCATCCCCAAGGCAGCAATATCTGTCAAAAATACTTGGGAGCCTTGCTCCTCAAACTGGGAATCCTGAGCCATCAGTTTCCTGAGAGCGTACTGAAAATGCAGGGATCTCAGGCCTCTCCCATACCTACTGAATCAAAGTCTGCATCTTTAAAAAGGCCCCCAATGATTAATGTGCATATTAAAATCTGAGAGTCTACGCTGTGGTAGATATTCCTTGGGTTGTAGGTTAAACTGGATGACCTATACAATTTTTTTTTTTACAAATTCGCAACCTCATGACTCTTAATATCTATAATCACTGGATGAAATATAACAAATACTGGTTAGAATACTAGGGTAACATATTAGGACATGCCATCACAAAAATGGATGCCTACCTTCCCCCTGTCTCCAATTCAAGAGAAAAAAATTAACTAAACAGTTTGACTTCATAAAGACAAAATTATGTGATGGCTTTTTAACCATTTGGGGGCGGGGTATTATGAAGACACCATCACAGACTCTTTCATGAAGCCTAGAAATGAAGCCTCTAGAAACTGGAAAAGGCAAGGAAACAGTTTTTCCCTCTAGAAGTAGTGCAGCCTGTTGATACCAGTGAAACCCACTTGGGACTTGTTAAGCTATAAATAATAAATTTGTATTGCTTTGAGTCACTAAGTTTGTGGTAATTTGTTACAGCAAAAATAGAGAATTAATACAAGTATTGTTTATGATTTAATATGACAACAACATTTTTCACTGATTCAATACTTCTGGCATACTATTATTACCTGTGTGCATTTATTCAATAGCTACCAAATCCCTACTGTGTATCTAAAAACTGGTAGGTCCTGGGAATACAGGATGAAGTAAAACACTGCCTAACTCCAGGACCACAAATTTGGGCAGAACTAGAGCTTAGAGAGCTGTGGATTTCCTTGTATAAAATAAAAGTCAAAGTGAGTTTTAAAAATGGCATTGTACTGCACCTGGAGGCAGGCTGGGGCGCGTCCCTGAGGCTTGTTGACATCCACAGCTACCAGCTGCCATCCGCCAGCAGCGTCTTCGTGAAACATCTTCAAGACAAAGAGGGAGATGAGTCAGAGACACTTAGTAAGGAACACTGAGAACTGTAACTTTATATCTCCAACATTTTATATTTTTTATCAAAGATTTGTTTTCTTATAGATTTATGTTTAAAACCTGAGTCTTTTCAATTATGTTCATCTTAACACTGAAAAGTTAAGTGAATAACAGTAACACAAGTGAAATAAGCCAGAGAAAGACAAGTATCACATGATTTCACTTATATGTGGAATCTGATGAACAAAATAAACCAAAGAATAAAACAGATCCAGAGACATGGAAGCATGGACTAGACTTGAGGAATCTCAGAGGGAAGGCGGGAGGGTGGGGCAGGAAGAAATGAACCAAAGAGCTTATATGCATAGATGCATAACCCATGGACACAGACAATAGTGTTGTGAAGGCCTGGGGAGGGGGTGGGAGTGGGGAGGAAGGGAACAATGGGGGGGGACATCTGTAATACTTTCAATAATAAAGATAAATTTAAAAAAATAAAAAGTAAAATCTAATGCAACTAAAAAAAATGGCAATAGCTTGCATTTATTGAGCACTAATTGTGTATCAGGTCCTTTCTGTTTTACATATATTTTATATATAATTGCCCAAATATTCTTTTCCACAAGACTTCAAAGTAGGCATTTTATCCCCATTATATATATTATTATTATATATTAAATCTGGGAGAAAATGAAAATTAGAATTCCAAAACATTGTGTCTGTTGTGTTTTTACTAGAAATGGTGAATTTTTATTTCTATTTAGTGGACACCTCTCACTGAGCTAACAGAAAAATGTTCTCAGGATAAATAATATAAGAATTGAACATGTGGCATAGGGGTTGAGGCTGGTGTTATTTTAATGACAGGAGACTGACGTGTCACTTAATAGACTTTGTGAATTATTTTAATTAGGCCAAATTAATCTGCTCAGTAGAAATTTTATGTACATATTAATAAAGGGAAAAAGTAGTTTCTTTTGGCTTAAAATACATAAGTGATGAAATTCAGGATAGGATACTTAATATCAGATACTAAAATCTGACATCCATTGAATTGGATATTTAGGTTGGTGGATGCCTAGGATATTATCTTACTGCATATTCTACTATCTCAAAAATTAGTCGTCTGTCAATATTACATTCAGCTGGAAGACATTTCCCACTTTCAATTTCTTAGGTGTGTGTGTGTGTGTGTGTGTGTGTGTGTGTGTGTGTGTGTGTTGGAGTGGTAGGGGGATAATGTGAAATTCAGGATTTTATTTTTCTAAGAAAAGACAGTACAAGCACTCACTGTTTTATTCCTGCCTGAAATTGCTGTTTCATGCACATAAGTAAACATCTTAGCCATACTATGTCCTCATGTTAATCTGACTCTGTGTCCAAAAGGGGTTTTGTTGATGGAAATATGAGAGGATAACAAAGATCCCATTACCGTTTGTTTTCCTGTTACTTTCTATATTATGGCCTCCACAAAACCTCTGGCATTAATTTCCCTGTAATTTGTTTCTATTCTGTGACTGAGAGGCAGGTTGAATGAATTTCCTCACTTTAGAATTAATTTTAAAAGGCATTCTTAGTGGTAGAATTAAGCACATCCCTTATGAACAGGCTCATTCCAGAATATGTATTTCATTTCAACACTGGTTGAAATGCAAACCTATTAAAGTGCCTTTTAAAGTTCCTGTCAAAATTCTGGGAGTCTCCTTTTAAGGAGAAAAAGACAAAAGACAAAAGGAAAGGACAAAAGCAGTCCTATCAGTGACTAGCTAAAGCCCCTCTGTACATGCAGCCTGTACTCTCTTGTCATGGCACAAAGGATTCCTGGGGTATGCATTTGCTTTGATCAGTAGCAGACCAATTTTCTCTGTTAAATTATTTCTTTTCCAGTGGACCCAAATCAAATGAATCTATTTAATTTTTGTAAAAGTGTTCTCTCAGGGTCACTTCTTTGTATGAAATAAAGTGAAGGAAATGCAAACATGTTCCATTTCTCTCGAGTCCTCCTGATTATGAAACAACATTTAGCTTGGTTAATATACCAGCAGCTCTGTGACATAGGTGATGGGATATCTCAAAACAGGGATCCTTAGAGACTCAAGTCCTTAGGGGAGAGTGGCAGGGGCTGCCAGCTGTCCCTCCATCTCTCTTCTCTCTGTCTTCCAAAGTAAGAAAATTTTTATGAGATCACTAAGCCACACACACGAAATAAGGTTTCCTTTTTTGAAACTTATCTTAACCATGTAATTACATGCTAGCCTATGAGAAGTAAGCAGAAATGTTCTATTTTTTTTTCTTCCAGCTTTTTGGAATATGGATGTGAGGGTTAAAGATATAGCAGCCAACTCAGTCTATGAGGCAACTTTGGGAATGGAGACTATGCAAGGTGGAGCAAAAAGTGCAAGGAGTTAGGATACGTGGCAATGAAGACTACCACACCAACTCCAAATGACCTCCTCCAACTTGACATGAGAGAGAAATATATATATACCTAATATGCAAAGAAAAATATATATATATATGCCTAATATGCAAAGAAATATATATATATATATATGCCTAATATGCAAAGTGTCCCCTTAGGAGTTCGACCGGGAGACCGGGAGTTCGATCGCTCGCTATGATGTGCACTGACCACCAGGGGGTGGCGCAGAATGAAGGAAGGCCCTGGCCAGCAGCTGGAAGGCCCCGATTGGCTCTGATTGCCAGCCAGGCCTAGGGACCCTACCCAGGCACAAAGTTCATGCACTGGGCCTCTAGTTTTACATAAGCTGCTTGGGGTTTTCTGTCCTTTGTAGTATGTGCACACACACACATACATGTACACATTAATGCAAAGAAAAATCTAAAATTAATTTGAAATTCTTATGCTCTTTGGATTCTTTCAAAATCAGTTGTGGTTAATAGTTAATCATCAATATAACACAAAATAATTAGATTCTACACTTGATTTCACTATTAAATAATAATATTCAATGACCTCAGCCTCACAAAATGTAATTCTCACATATGATGAGTATATTGTTCCATTGCCACAGGTTCTTATTAGAATCACTATTGTGTCATGCTAGAATAGACCTTCCCAGAAACTGCTTTCATTAAATTGCTTTCTCACTTATTTTAAAGATGTATATGCATGTGGAAAACAATGGTCTTGGAATACAGTAAACAAAGATTTACTCAAGTATTGTCATTCTGCATAATGTTGTACACAGTCTTTTTTGGAGACTAAATTCTTTTTTTTGATTGTATGTCTTTTCATATACACATTTCTACTTTAACCCAGCACTGCATATTCATATAGAAGTTGTTTAGGTATTGTAGGTATTCAAATTTCAAGAATTACATGTTCACAGAACTAAAAAGGAAGAAGAACTCCTAAATGTTCTTTGATCCTACACATCAATTCTATCCTTTGCAGTCTTATGTCTTAATTAGGGAATATTAATTCAGTAAACATAAGCCAGCAAGCGTGCTGAACCAGAGATCATGACAGACCCAGAAATTATGACTCTCTTTAGACAATCAGAATATTTACTTACCAATCCCATAATATGACTCTATTGGACCATGATTCACATATAAAACTTAGGTATGAATTGAGTGCCAGAGCAATAAATATTGTGTCTCATCACTATACAATAAAACGTAGCCTTGTGTGGCCCTAAGTCTTAGCAGTTCTTTTCGTCCTACTTCAGGCAAAGTAAGATAAGCTCCTCTTTACCATGCATCAGTCTCCATCAGAAGACCACATGGCTGCAGCAGCAGATAGCTGAGGAATGAGAGTAAAGGACTGGGATAGAGGGACACTACTATGTCCAGAATAATTTCGTCCTTTTTTTATCCTCACCTGAGGACATTTTCATTGATTTTTTAAAAATCTTTATTGTTGAAACTATTACATATGTCCCCTTTTACCCCCATTGACCCCTTCTCCCACCCCCACCCCTGGCCTTCACTACTCTATTGCCTGTGTCCATGGGCTATGCATATATGCATACAACTTCTTGGGACATTTTCATTGATTTTTAGAGAGAGGGAGAGGGAGAGGGAGAGAGAGAGGGAGAGAGAGAGAGAGAGAGAGAGAGAGAGAGAGAGAAACAATGTAGAGAGAAACATTGATTGGTTGCCTCTGAGGATTGAACCTGCAACCCAGGTATGTGCCCTGATTGGGAATCAAACCTGTGACCTTTCTGTGTAAGGGACGATGTTCCTACCAATGGAACCACACCAGCCAGAGCTGTCCATAATAATTTCTACCAGCACATCTGCATAATTCAAAATCCAGTTCAGGGAGAACATCCTTAGAAACTTGTGGCATGGGTAGTATGTGTTGAGGGACACAGGGGGCTATTACATCATGGCTGTATGAATCTCTTGCACTTTAACCCAAGATACAACTGAATGTGTGGCCACAGTGACCCATGTCTGATAATTATGCAGGTATAAAATGTCACCATCCCCATGAGAGTTCAGGCAAATTAATGATTACCAATCTGAAAATATCCACATCACTTTCCTTTTGTTTTCCTGTTACATTTTGTATTGTGGCCTCCATAAGACCTCTAGCATTATTTTTTCTGTAATTTGTTCCTATGCTGTGACTCTGAGGCAGGTTGCCTCTTCCTACTAATAAACAACACAGTTCTCACCAGGGATTCTCTTTTGCCTCAGAACAGTCCACATCAGAGCAAATTCCTATTGAACCACCTAAGATGTCAGAAAGACCCTTCCTTATCCTGTTGATGTGTATAATTTTCTTTCTACACACAAAGCCTCCCGGGAAAATCTGTAGACTTAAATATCATAGGTGCATCAAGCCCAGGACCCTATAAGCCCTTCTATGAGGATAATATATAGAAAAGCAGCAAGTGTTCCAAATACTACAGAAAGGCAAGAACTGACTTCATTTCTGAACAGCTGTGTGCTTTACAATACAACTGTCTTTATTTTCTTTTCTTAAAGTCTATCTGTTTTATTAGACTTAGAAATTGTGATTTATTGTTTTAAACCATTGAATGAGAGCTTCTTGTGCACAGAGTTCTGTCAGATTTTACAAGTGTGACAGAATCATGGCAAATGATGTCTCTCTCCTTCTTCACACACACAGCCTCTGGGCCACTTGAAGACTGGCTGGGCGGGGCGGGGCAGGGAGGGGCTGGGCCTGTTTCCAGGCAGCTCAAGTGGTATTGCACCAAGGGCTGCTGCAGGAGCTTCATCAGTTGCTTAGCAACCGGGTCCTCAGCCACAGCATTTTTCTTAATGAAGGTTTTTCACAATTCTCTGTGTGATTACCTTAACTGAATACCAAGATGCATATCTGACAGAACTCTAAATTACCAGCTTCTTCCTCCAGATTATGTACAATTTTGCATCAAAACAACGTTGTACAACTCTGCTGGCAGTCTCTTCACATTTCACTTTCTATGGTAACTGCTGGCTGATTTGGTGGCACTTCCAAACACTACTCTTCCAGCTGTGGTTTTATAAATAAGATTCACTTAATAAGCATAATATGGTTTTAAAGACATGTTAGGTCATCTCTCAGGAACACTGATGTAAGTTCTGTGCTGAGTTCATAGTTCTGTGATCCATTAAGTTTCTCTCTCTCTCTCTCTCTCTCTCTCTAATATAGAGCGGAAAACACCTTTGAGAGGTTGTCACCTTACTTAAAAGACATGTCAGAATGAACTTGGAACTTTATTACTTCTCATAGCTTACTAAAAGAGATGAGAGAAGAAACAGGAACTAGATGTGGTTGACTCTTTGGAGGGTCTCCTACATGCTACCTGTGAAATAGCCTAGATAATGTTTTAAAAATCTTTCATGGAAATCTGAATAGTTGTTTGTCAAAACTGAATAATATTACTACTATTTCATTTATAATGAATTGGCTAGACAATTCAAACTTTCACAGCATCATAAAGATGCTGCAAAAAGGCTTTTCCAAATATTCGCATGTTTAATAGCATTAGCATATAATTATTAGAAGAATAATTTGAAAATTTTAAAAATAAAATGTGTACCTTGGATCTTTCACAAATACCTTTGTACCAATAGGCCTGTAAAAGTATTTAAAAACTTACAAAATAATAGTTACAAGGCATTAAAATAATTTCATTCTAAATTCATACATTTTTATTTTCTCTCTTTTATAAAGATTCATACTAGAAGAAGATAGTATATAAACCTGTCCTTTCTCTTCCTAAACACACACATATACAACATAACACAAATACACAAAACCAAACCAAAAACAAAGTCATTGAATCTGAATTGCCCTCTCATATAACAACTGCCCTGCTACTTTTTGTCAAATTCTAGGGCACTTCCAACTTCTTGGGAGCATAGGGAGAAGCCTTCCAAATATGTAGTGATTTCTCAAAAATCACAGGCATGCATTTGGGGTTGAGTGGCCTTCATAATTTGCTATACTGTGATTGGTTCATTCTGAATGAAATAAAATTTCCAAAAATTCTAATTCTATACATAAGTGCCATTGTATTGGTTTTCAATTATATGAATAAACATTTATAAAAATGGGAACTTACACAGTTTCTATGTTTTATCTGCAAGCCCTTTAAGGACTGGTGATGGAAGAATCAAATCAAAAGTACATAAAAAGTATGGTGGCCATCTAGTTTTGTATCAAAACCACTCAGGGAGCTGCTAAAAGTATAGATGTCATTGCCCAAATCACTCAGAAAGCCCGATTGGTTGTTCAGGGTGTGGGTCCTTGCACTTCCATTTTTTAATGAGTCCCTCAGTGAGTCTGATTGCAGAAGGCCATTGTAACAGGGCTCCCTCAAGTTCCAACAAGTCCCATTGATGGTGAAGATAGAAATGTCTGTGTTTAAATGGGTGGTGACATCAACCCCTGATACTGTACCTGGGTGGTGGCTGTTGAAGTAGTACTGCTTCTTGATCCCCACATTTGCTGAAACTGTACCCTGATTTCTGCAAACGTTTCAATGATGACAGCGATAAACACATTCTGAAAGAAAATTACAAGCCACATTTACCAAATGGTAATGAGAATGAGAGAGGGCAATCGCAATCTAAAACAAAAGATCTACAGAAGCTGTCAGAAAGCACATAGTTTATTGTTAGAAATCACAGATGAATTTTTACAGTACCTTCACAAGCCACGCAAGGAAGAATATGAGAGTGATGAAATAGAAGTAGGAACGCCAGCGGGGAAAGCTGTCAATTGCTCTGTACATGAGGAATACCCAGCCCTCCTGGGAGGCGGCCTCATAGACTGTGAAGATACTGGTGCCTAGCAAGAGAGAGGAGAGCAGGCTGAATTATGGTGGACTTTTGATATAAGAAGTCATTTTCCAGAAGCACAATCAATATTGATACATTATCATTTTCTCAATGACCTTCTAAAAGGCTAAAATAACATGCAAGATTTTATTGTTCTTATTCTTAGGATTTTGATAAAGTTTTTTCAGACTTCAAGCTAGGACAATTTAATAGCTCTAGCAATAAAATAACTTTATGTTATATCTTTAGCTGGTAAGTGCATTTAATAATGGTGAAAGGAAGTAAACATTTAAGCTAAGTAGCGATATATTAAAAAGGAATGTGTATCATGTAAGCATGCCACTTGGGGCTTAACACCTGCAGAGTGCTAACGGGTACTTGCTATAGTTTTAACCAAAATGAAATAAATCTGGGAACTGGGTTTCACTTGAAATCACTTTCTCATTGGGAGACTAAAGTATCGTAGGCTCCAAAAATTAAAATGTTGGAGCCTGTCTTTGGATTCCATGGTGTTTACTAAATACCAAAATGTAAGGTATTAAATCATCAAATAGTACTCTGTATTTTCTGAGAGAATTGTCTCATTAAAAATACCACTGATAATGGAAAGAAATAAAATGAACAATAAATATGTGGGCAGATTTTTGAACATATGGTTAAGAGAACCTAAAATGCCATTCAGAGGAAAGACAGTGTTTAATTCTCAAATTAGGAAGTTTGTGTTATCATTTCACCATTTTACATATGGGAAAACTACAGCACAAAAAGGGTAAGTGATTTGACTAAGGATGTACAGATAATAATAGGTGAATAAGAATTAACCCAGTCTTTCTGAAAAAGGGGTGTGCATGTTTAACTGTGATGATATCCTGCCTCCGGACATCTTTTCTATGGCTTAATTTTCCTATCAAAAGGGGGGGGGGGGGAATAACACATACCTCAAGAGTTGTGAAGATTAAATGATTTTATTTCTTTAAAGGGTTGGCATATGGTGTATACTTAATACAATTTAGTACTACCTATATATATAAAAAGCCAGAGACTGTAATGCTGTCACGACCATAATGACCTAAAGACTGGTCACTATGACACCCACTGTGGCCAGCGAACCGGCCTGATCCGGGCCGATTGCCCCCAACACCCTGATCAGGGTGGCCAGGCTCCGATCAATCAGTGGCAGTGGCAACTGGTGAGCGGGAGGAAGGCAGACTGCTTGGTCCCTCGCCCCAGCCTGCAGGCTCCAATCGATCAGTGGCAGTGGTGGGGTGGAACTGGGGACTGGCAAACGGGCAGAACATGGCCCTGATCACAGGCTAGGCCTAGGGACCCTAACCACGCATGATTTTGTGCACTGGGCCTCTAGTTATTATTATAAAAATTGGAGATAATTGCTAGATATTATTTTGTGAGAAAACAGAAATAATAATAATGAATTAAAGTTGTTTATAAGACAAATATGATACATGTTGTCATTCATAAAACTGAAAATATTGGCACCACAATAAATTCCACTATATAAATTTATCAGTTAATTATAGTATATAAAACTAATATCCACTTACGCATGCTCTAACCACACAGAAATTTAAAATCAGAATATGCATCTGATTAAATGTCCAAAGTAAGACGTAGTTTACTGAAGTTGGCTGAAAACTGACTGTCCCTTTGGGCCTGTGCATGCAGGAAGAATAATCAGACATCACTGAATACCAACACATGCAGAATAGCAGAAAAGTCTAGCAGTAAATGGGACCAAATGGGAAATAAACAGACTTGAAAGAAAAGCTGAGAGAGAGAATGAAAGCATAACCTATTTAGAAAATGTTTGTTATGCACTGATCTGTACTAAGTAACTTTGTATAAAATATAGTTTCATATATGTAGTGCCTCTCACTTTAAGAATATTTTGTACATTGGTCGTCTTTGCCATAACAACTAGAATTTGTAAAACACGTTTAGCTTCGAGACTCTTTTATATATACTTAAATGCTAATCTCTAATTAGGTAGGTAAGTAGGTGGGTAAAAGGGCAGATACTATCAATCACATTTTATAGAAAAGAAAAGTGAAGGTCATTAGAGTTAATTAATTTGTCCAAGGTAAAAAGTGATAGAACCAGATATTGAACCCATGTCAACAAGTCCAGGTCTGAAACTATTTTTCTTTATAATGTTACCTAAATTTTCTCCTGCTTGAGACTGAGACGTCAAAAATTGCATATTTTCTTTTATTAGCTTTAATTTGAATAAAGTTCATTTTTTTCTGAGGGTCTATGGTGACTAAATTTATAGTATATTGAGGAGCTCATGCAAGAAGATGACTTTTAAGAGAAAGATTTAGAGAACAACATGTATAAAAAATAAATGTCAACAGGAAAGAAAAGTGACTGTTTCCATTAATAATTCAGATATACTAAATACGTACAACATTTTTGCTCTTATGGAATGAATATGAAGGGCAATTTTAACCTAAAACAAGAAATTTATACCCCTTATTTTCTTCTAGCTATTTGAACTAAAATGGGAATGTGGCAACAGAAATTCATTATGAATTACCATTAAAGGTTTTTTTAAAAAAACACATTTTTATTGATTTCAGAGAGGAAGAGAGAGAGAGAGAGAGAGAGAGAGAGAGAGAGAGATCAATGATGAGAGGTTGAAGAAAATGCTGACTGTTGAAGAAAATGCTGACTGTTGAAGAAAATGCTGACTGTTGAAGAAAATGCTGACTGTTGAAGAAAATGCTGACTGTTGAAGAAAATGCTGACTGTTGAAGAAAATGCTGACTGTTGAAGAAAATGCTGACTGTTGAAGAAAATGCTGACTGTTGAAGAAAATGCTGACTGTTGAAGAAAATGCTGACTGTTGAAGAAAATGCTGACTGTTGAAGAAAATGCTGACTGTTGAAGAAAATGCTGACTGTTGAAGAAAATGCTGACTGTTGAAGAAAATGCTGACTGTTGAAGAAAATGCTGACTGTTGAAGAAAATGCTGACTGTTGAAGAAAATGCTGACTGTTGAAGAAAATGCTGACTGTTGAAGAAAATGCTGACTGTTGAAGAAAGTGTTTCCCATATATATGAACCACACTGGGTCAAAGGCTTTGAAGATTTTACTGAGTTGCAGCAAAGGCAATTGAGTAAGGCAGTCTTTCTTCATCATCTTTCTACTCCTGACTTTGCAAAGTGTATGAAAAGGAAATCAATTTTGAAAAGACTTTCCAATTGTTGAGCAATATTTAAACTGACAAAATTCAAATGTATGATAGTCCTATTTTCTTTGAGAGTAGACAACCTGAGGAAAAAACTAGCTGCTCAAACTTATTGTGCATATCCTGTTATCTCTGTCTGCCCTCCCACCCTGACCCCGACCCTGTCCTCCTAGTCGACTACTCTGTGGCTATCCAGCCCAGCTCACCTCATCTGCTTGCAATCGACACTAGTGCCTGTTCTCAGTCCTCCTGGAGACCCCTGAGATCACCTGTATCATGTCACTTATCACACTGACTTGTTAATATGTCCTCCTTCCTCTCTAGGTATGAGCACAATAAGTTAAAACTGTATCTTTCACTTCTAGCCTGGCATTGAGAAGCACTGAGTTGACAAATTAAATAATTATCATATAATTAAGACAAATATTTCTCAAATATTTGCTTTTTTAATAAATTCTTTCTCACCATGAATATTGCTCAAATATGTATTTGCGGGAAAAGAATGTTATTTTATAACTGACTATGTTTTGTTGATTTCCAAATTTGCTTAAAACACATAAGCATATGTAAATTTAAAATTCTATGATACATATAAACAGCAAAGTCTTCCTCTACTGTTTGATCTATCATGTGAAATTTCTAGAAAATATTACATTAATACATACAAAATATTTTTCTAGATACAGTACAGAACACTTTTAGTTCATCTTAATTATGGTACGAGCTGAAAAGAACACATTTTTTTAAAAACTATACTTTATTGGTTTTTTACAGAGAGGAAGGGAGAGGGATAGAGAGTTAGAAACATCGATGAGAGAGAAACACCGATCAGCCGCCTCCTGCAAACCCCCCACTGGGGATGTGCCCGCAACCCAAGTACATGCCCTTGACCAGAATCGAACCTGTGACCCTTGAGTCCGCAGGCCAACGCTCTATCCACTGAGCCAAACCAGTCAGGGCAGAACACATTTTTTGTTGTTGTTAAATGAATGATTCTATAATAGTGCCTAGGAATAAAAATGCATTCTCTCACTGGAGAACAATGAAGCCTGCTCCAAAAATATATTTAGGAAGCTCCTATAGCAGCACAATTTTCTTAGACGCCCCCCAAACTCTCAAAGCACAAATTCAACTTGTATAAGAAGCAACATCACAACATTGATATTTAGCTCATCAATCCCCCTAATTTCATTTGTTTTTTCTTTGATGGTCTGAATTATTTTGATAAGAAGACCCACAAGCCTACATTTAAAGAATAAATATTCACCTTGGAACTTTCTACAGACTGCATGGATTGCGACATAGTAGAGGACTTTTTTTATGGTTCTGAACAAAATTATAGTCCCATATATTTTGTCTAGGATTATATTTACTGATTCACTGTCTTCTGATTCTTTCTTCCATGAAAAAAGTGAAAAATTGACTGTGTCCTGGGAATATTCCCTGTTATTTCTCCTAGTCCCCACAGCACCTCTGAGGGAGTCACCTTTCCTTCTACCTGGGTCATCCTGCTACAGATACTTGTCTTCTTATCTGGTCTTTTAACCTTTCCAACCTGATGTGTGGGTTGTTTTTTGTTTGGTGTGTGTGTGTGTGTGTGTGTGTGTGTGTGTGTGTGTGTGTGTGTGTTTTATGAAATGGAATTGATTGTCTGGCTTCATTTCCCACCTGTGAATAGAACTGTATTTGTGTAGTGCATAATGACAACATTCTTGTCACTCAAGAACATCAGTTTCTCTCATAGAGCAGGATGATTTTCTTCCTGCTCCTCCTGCTGACTCTGATTCGACCTCGCCCTTTT